GGATTCGCTTGAAGATGCTTGTGGAGATATTTTGAAATCAAGAATTTCGTACTTTAAACAAGTAAAACCTTTATGTACAGTATTTTTTGTTTTAATTCAGAACCAAGTTTCTAGTTATATATATTTATATATATCTAAGAAAAAATCAGATAAATAGCTTATATTCATATGTTTCTTGAGAAGTGTTTCTACTTGTTAAATTCAAATAATAATGTATATGTAAGAATGTTTGCTAAGTCCAATACATTCGATTAGTAATGGTTATATTATGAGTCGCTGTTATACGCCTATTGGTTAAATATATTTTGGAATCAGAAATAACTCCATATCCTCTGAATCAAGAGTGGTTATCGTTGTTTGGCTTTTTCTGCTGAATTACGGATGAACGATCAGCTTATGCTTCTTCAGGTAGACAACGAAAGGTAGTCGCTCTAGGATGCCATCTCAATCTATGTAGGGAAGGTTGAATTACATATATACAGTACATTACATATACATTTCTTAAATTAAAATATAAAAGTGAACATTTATTTAATGTTGATGTATTTCATTCTATTCTATTGCGACTCATTCAGGTAGAAATAAAAGCACATTTTCCTATGCGCCTCTCAGGTCGTGCCTAAGCTCCCAAATGGACTTGTTTGGGCACATTTCGTTGACTGTTTCTTGACAAATTACTTGTGCGAGCGTCTCAAGAACCCGTCGCTGTTGGCATTATTTGCCGCAGCTTTACGGCCCGTTTATGGCCGACTGGAATACACAGCATAAAGTCGGTGCTATTAAATATAATTGCCAGCCATTTTTACAATCTACTTAGGAAATCATTTTTAATGTGCTTTCAAAAGCCAGACCAGCTCGCCCTCCAACATGCTAATTGAGCACTGTGAAAAAAAGTGTCCACCAGTCCGTGAATACGGGCGCACAAAACAATAGAGCTTAGAAATTTAAATTAACATTTTGAGTGAATCTAATAACAACAAAAACAAAAACAAAAACAAAAACAAAAATGAAAATGAAAGAGTCTGCGATAAAAAACTGGCCAGCAAAGCAAAACAGTTAAATTGTTTTTGACCAGGACTCGGTGGAATGCGGCCGGTGCCAAAACCACAGCCAGGTGGGATGGGCACGTCCCGGCTCACCAGCCGGGCGTTAGATTTTTTTATGCATAGCCAACATTGTTGCGGCCTGACTCTGGTTTACAGTTTCTCTACTTTTTCACTGCCTTTGTTTATGCGGTCAAATTTAAAATGCCAACAGCAGCAGCTGCACCAAGCGCCTAGAACCGAGCAGAAGCGACCATGTATATGTATATATATTTTTACATATTTTAATGTGCTCTTGGCCAGCATTCGATGCCTTTATTTTGTATTCTAGACCTGGTCAAAGGGCTGCGACTGCGACTGACTTGAAGCTGTCCAGAAAAGAAAGCCAAACAGCAACAGCGGCAACAGCTAAAACAAAACTGGCATAAGCCACAGCAGGCAAAAGGCAACGAGCAGCACACAACCAACCACCCAGCTACACACCCACGCATCCACACCGATACAGACACACACACACACACACACACACACAGGCACCGCACACCACATTAGCAGTGGGCCCCCATGCATACATACATAAAATTTCACACTCGCTCGACGAAGGCGCGCAACGGCTGAGGGACAAATGCAAATACACAAACAATGGCAGCGAGGGGCTACTAAGCCAAGCTAAGAAGGTTTCGGTAAACAAATACACACACACACGCACACACACACTGGCGTATACACACACAAACACACTTAGGAGCACAGGCGTTATTATTGTTGTTGTCGCTGCCATTCGGGCACATTCATAGTTAAAATTTGGAGAGACCGCGTCGAGAGATTTGGCACACAGCCATGCCAGAGCCAACCCAACCAAACCCGAAACCTCAACCCATCGCCACCCACTTCCCCTTGTCCACTGTCGCGTTAATCAAGGTTCATACAATGGCCAGCAACTAAAACAACTGTAACAGCAGCAACAATGCAAAGTTAGCACGTGCCAAAATGGGCATCACATACATACACACACACACACACACACACACACACTCACACACATACCCTATCCGAAATTGTGTATTCTGTGCGGTGTTGTAACTGCCAGCAGGTATTTAACATAGACTCGAACAGATTCACCCCCAGCATAAGCAACTGTTAAGTATCCTTAGGAAATAACTCACAATGTTTCGAACCCCAACAATAGATCATTGCTGGGCGCTTGCTGACTACGTTTAATTCTGACCAAGTTTTATTTACTCAACTTTCTTTATTCACCATTCCCCCACTGGGCTCGGCGCATTTAAAATAACAAGTTTTCATTTTTTTTTAAATCTTTATCTTTATTTTCAAATCTCCCAAGTTCGCAGCAACAGCTCTCCCCAAGTTTATAGCTAATAGCTAATACAGCAATAGCTAAGACTTCGAAAGAAATTTACCAAATTCATTCCATTTTGGTCAAATAGACTATCTCTTTCGACCACACACTTTCATGTTGTATATAGATTGATTAACCATTTTTTATACAAAATAAAAAATTTGTTTGTTTATCCTTGTAAACAAGTTTTTAGTGTAACAACACAATTTCTCCGCCCGAAAATAGATCGTTTCCAAACTTTATATTTAATTTCTAGAACTATCTTGATGTAACATTTCTGATATTTCAGATTATTTTTATAGACTTATCATATTACTGCTTGATGAACATTTGCATTTTCAACTTTTATTTGAATTTAGCTTTCAGCTTTCCTAAAACCAAGTTTTTTACTTTTATTATTATGATATTACAAGAGTTTGCTTTGTTTCAGCCTTGTTTATGCTGTTTGGACCAATAAAAATGCCAATATACTATAGCTGCATATTAACAACAACTCGATATGCATAATAAAAGCACACAAAATAATGAACTCTGACCGGCAATTTGTCCGAAATCGAACCATCTGAGTGTTTGTTCAAGTATGTCTATTAAAATCGATTGATTCTTCGATGGTTATTGCCATTAATGGTGCTACAATGCAGTTTGTATATTAATGGGGCCTCGTTAAGGTAATAACAAATAACTGAATAGCACATTAGGTCTACCAAAAGTAGGCTGAAAGGGAGAAATGGCCAATTATAAGAATATGTACAGTTAGGGGGGTTGCTACGGTCAAGGAGTCTGTAATATAACCGCAACAGGAAAATCAACAGCAATTTATATTAACTTACTTGAGCTAATTACAAGCTCGAGCATCTTCATTAATTTACTAATAGATATTAATGATTATGATAATGATAAGCACTACTTAAAGCCTGATAAGTACCATAAACATATAATATGAGTGCATATTTTGACCCTTTTTGAGGGCATTATAAATTTGTCATTAATTGTGCAAGGCATAGTAGGAGACACTTAAATTCCGGGTAGAAGGAACGACCCTATAAAGCATATATTCTTGATCAGTATCAATAACCGAGTCAATCTAGTCAGTTCTGACTGTTTGCCCGTCTGTCCGCCCGTCTGTCTGACCGTTTGTCTATCCGTCTGTCCGTCCGGCGTCCGTTCCTGAGAACCTATAAAAGCTAGAGACTTAAAATTAACCGTCGTCCTGCTAATGCTCACGCAGTACTCTTTCCGATATTCGATAATTGGCAACATGCCCAAGTACTCGATAAAAACTGCTCGATATCAGTTTCTTGTTTCTTGAGTAAACATTTAAGGTGAACCATATTGCATATAGCTTTTGGAATAGTATATACAGATCTTGTTATAGCTATCGACTTTCTCCCACTAGCCAGAGTTGCAGTCGGTTTTAGTTAAAGAATGTATAAGATCAATCTTACATGTTTTTTGTATGGAAACCTTTTTACTTTTGAAGGTATCTCAACCAGCTAACTTCTCGTAAAATACTTGCAAGGCGGCATCAAACCGAACTATAACCATACTACTGGATTAAGTTTATATATTTAAGTCTTGCCAAGTGGCATGCCAAGCAGAGAATTAAATCATCGATGTGTCGAACAAAGCTGTTTTAATTATTTAAATTTTTTCTATGCGGATTCATTCACATCCGCTTAAATCAATTTTAATGATATATTTTTTCATTCATATTCTTGTTGAATGGAATTGAATTAAATAAAACGAATCGACCACTAATTGTAATCATAAATTTAGCATATATACAATTTATGCATTATATTTACCAAAATTGCTTTATGTTTTTTATACCCTTGCAGAGGGTATTATAATTTTGTCGTGAAATGTGTAACGTCTGATCAGCATCAACAGCCGAGTCGATATAGCCATGTCCGTCTGTCCGTCTGTCTGTTTCTATGCGAACTAGTCCCTCAGTTTTAAAGCTATCTTAATGAAACTTTGCAGAAGTCCCTATTTCTGTTGCACGCAGCACACATGTCAAAACCAGGTGGATCGGACCACTATATCATATAGCTGCCATAGGAACGATCGGTCGAAAATTAAGTTTTTGTATGAAAAAACATTTTATTTATCAAGATATCTTGACCAGACTCGGCATTTATTAGTTTTACTAAGCTCTCCATATATATGCAAAATCCTATTAAAATCGGACTACTATATCATATATCTGCCATAGGAACGATCAGTCGAACTAGGTTTTTGATTAAAAACCTTTTTTGTTTATCAAGATATCTTGACCAAACTCGGCATTAACTCTTTTCCCTGTGCTTCTTAGATACGGGCAAAACACTATAAGCATCATGAAAAGGTTGGGTCTGCAAGGGTATGAGAGCTTCGGCGTGCCGAAGATAGCCTTTCTTTCTCGTTATTAACCATATTGGCCGTTGCAAATGACCAAAAAACAGGCAATCTACGGCGCAATGTTTGACATCCATTCGTTTCGCTGTTGAATGATTTATAAGTGCAAACAAAATGGAATGCCGCTAATCGAATTTTCATATTTGTATCACATATATGCATTTATGTGTATATGTGTATATGTGTCTATGTATTTGCAGATTATATTTTGACCCTCGTAACGGCCACTTAAATGCGGAGCTGCCAACAGACAACCAAAGAGCTAAAACACCAAAATGCCAGCAGCAAAAACCAAAATCGCTGCAGTATAAATCAGCGGAACTGAGCATGCGACAATTTGTACATAGATGATGGCCCGCAAAAGTATATATATAAATTGTGGAGTAGTATTCAAAGCACCCACAACACATATGAGTAGTATTTAGTAAATCCCCTCCCACACACACACACACCCACCCACATGCATCTAACGTAGTCATAACTAATTGGCCCGATGGCGCTGACTTGTTATTGATTGCATATACGAATAAATAAATAAATAGATAGTTATGCATGCGAACTTTTCGCTCTGAGATTACAAAATATCATAAATTGTAATATCCATAAATTGTTAATGACAAGTTTTTTTTTTGTTTTTGGCTAACACTCATCGTCAGATGTCAAGGACACACACAAAATCTAGTCGAACAGATTCGAGATATCAGAAAACCAACAAAACTATCAATATTGCCGAACAATTTTGGAAGGTAGTGCTCCAGTTTGTACCAATTGTAAATACTTAATAGTTTTTTTTTATATTATATAAAAATTTCCTAATTTGATACATAGTTGAATGTAGTTACGTTAAGGGGTTAAGATTCATTGCCTTGGCGGGGAAGCGCCTGTGCTGGCCCCTAGTATTTAAGTAGGCAATCACAAGAAACTATTGAAAATTGTAAATCGAAAGGAAATTACATGAATAATAGTAAAAATTGTATGCTTACGCTAAAATTATATATTAATATATATATATACTATATATATATACACAATTGACGACCAAACAAAAGTTTAACTTTATATTTAGAAACTCTAAAGATCATACTTTAAATACATGCAACCATATTGAAGCCAACTGAATGGACTAGTGGCTGGGGCAGTGCGAATCCTTGAGAACTATTTCAGACACTTGGTATATAAAAATGTACAAGCTCGAAAGCCTTGGTCCTTGAAACAATCAACAGAAAACCCAAATTCATAGGGCTGAGCATGGTTTTGAAGGACTAAGCACTGCCGCAGCTTTAGCTCCACTTAATATTCTATAAACGAGTAAATGATAGATTCACGATAAGGAAGAAGGAAAAAAGAAACAGAAGGCTTGTTAGTGATATTAATTTAAAATAAACTGAAACTAAAACCAATTAATGGCTCCTTAGCGATTATAGAAGTGTTAAACGAACTTTTTTCATTTGCCGAAAAACTTGAGGATGACACTAAACTGAAGAGACTATACTTAGTCATCTTCGAGGGCAAACTAGAGTCTTTATTTAAGCACGCCCAATATAGTTAGTCAGATAAGCATAGGCTTTGATGTAAATTCAAAAATTTCTGTCAACTTCTGTAAACTTTGTCATCTTAAGCCTGAAACTGATTGTAAATAAGAGCAAATGATAAAGAAAACTCAGCATTCGAAATAGAAATTAAATCACATAAGAACTCATATATCAACTAAATTAAATAATAAATTTAAATACACACACACACACACACACACAGGCACATTAACAATAAAAAAAAAAACACACTACACACTTACACAGCAACGCATATGTAAACAAGTTCCAAGCAAGTCTTACAAATATTCACACACAACCCACTCACACACACACACACACACACACGCACATCAGCGCAGTATATCCCAAACAAAAAACAAAAAAGGAAATTAAATTATCAGTTTATAATTAAATATTTGTAAACTGTCTGAGCAAAAGCAAACTAACTAAAGCGAATGACTAAGCTAAAGTGAAAGCAAAACTAAACGAAAGGCGCCATCAGCTATACGAGTAATGTAAAACGAAGAAACGTTAAATAAACGAATAAAAACAAAATAAAACATAACAAAAAATATGAACGACAATTATTTGAAATTTCATCCAAACTGCAGCAATATGCTGGTCTGAAGCTGGAGCTGGAACAGCTCCGAATGCGCTTGGGACTCATCCACTCAAACCATCAATTGAATAGCCGGAAATGGATGCGAAAGACTGCAGCAGTCAGTGATTGAATGCTCTGTCGTTATAGGGGTCAGTAAGTAAATATATAAATACATACGTACGTATGCTCTGACAGATTAAATTTAATTGGAGCAACAAAGGGTGTTCTCGGTAAGCGAGTCAGTCAGTGAAGGGTATGTAAACGAGTCACTGTCATGATTTGTGGCTGATTTCATGATTTAACAGTCTGGCAGCACGAAAAAATTATATGCATGAGCTAAGTTAGCTGCAGCTAAACGTGTGACATGTCATGATATTCATGAATTTCATAACTACGATCTGGCAGCACGAAGCTTATTTTCACGTATGCGCTAAGTTGGCTGCGCTTGAGAATTTTATTTTTAAAGCTTTAACTTATAAAATATTTTATGCATTTACAACAGCTGGACATAACAAAATGATTCTACAGTATGTCAATAAAGTGTTTTTACTAGCGAAAAAACTCATTTTTTAGGTTTATTTTAAAACAAATGTCAGTATTCAGTCAGTCAGTATTTTTTTCATATCTAATTTATTTCGATTCTTTATTTTTCATAGAACTTCTAAGAAGCTTAAATAACATTATCCAAACAATTTATGGAATTAAAAAACTAAAATCATTCGAATTTTATGCTGTCAATAAAGTGTTTTTACACGAAACTTGTATCTACATGAACGCCATAAATCCTAGATACAGTTGACGTGGAAATACTTCGAAATACTTTACCCCAATCCTTTAGCTAACCTTCATCAGGAACTCCTCCAACTTATGCCCCGATCAGCTGAATAATGTAGCACCCAACATCCAAAATCGTAGCACCCAGCAGCTGTTAAATGTAATTAAAATTGGTGGCCAGTGCCAGGGGCAGGCACGCAATGAATTAAATAAATTAATTTAGCTGCCAGGCGCAAAAAAATATGCAAACCGTAAATGCGTAAAACCACAAAATAAAAGGAGAAAAAGGAAGCGAGGTTAAAACCCAAATGAAATATGGAAAAACGCGTGTAAATAGCGCGCGCATTTTTTACATTTTTTTAACGCCGCAGCTGGGGCAAATTTGCACCTAACCTAAAAGTGGCAGCGACAGGTGCTTAGCAACACTGGCATCAAGTATCTTTCGCGCCCGCTCGCACTCACCCGCACTAGCTGGCGTCTCTGTCTAGCGCTCATGTAAATGCCGTGCAACAAGCATTTATGTAAATTGAAAATATGCCGAAACGGGGCAGCCATTTAAATTCAATTGTCGCCATGGCAAATCGTGAGAGCGAGTGCGAGTGGGAGAGGCAGTGGGAGAGGGAGAGGCAGAGTTTCGCAGACAGACCGACCGCAAGCTGAGCGGCTTTCCCGCTGTGGATGCACACAATCAGAATTTATATTTATTATTACGATTACAGTTCAGTCGGAGCTCGCAGGCGGTTCAGTGCAGCCGAAGAAACACATTTGTTCATCAGCAAGCGTGCGGAGACAGTCTTCCAACTGCTCAAACACACACACTCGCACACTCACACTCACACACACACTCGGAATGGAGCGTCTGCTGACCATATTCGAGCAGGCTGATCCCTTCTCTACCTGGTGGCCTACCATTGCAGCCCTCGTGGTCGGCATTGTGATTACAGTGCGGTAAGTGAACGGGGACAGCAAATGCATATTCATGGGGCAACAACGAAACGCGTAGTACGCAGCCTTAACGATAAGTTGTGGCCCATGGCAAACTTTTGGCCACGTCACGACGCTTCGCCGGACACGTGCATGTACATAAATGTCGTGGTGAAGACAAGAAAAAAAAGCACAATAAGATAATTGCAGTCGGGTGCAACCGATTGCGCCATACTCGCTAACAGTTCACAGACAAGCTAGCCGTCAAGTTTGTTTTAAGGGATTTATATTTTTCCGATTTGCCATGCCCTATTCTTAAGAATAACTCATCAGAAGTCTTCGTTTTAATATGATTTTTAATATGAGATATATATAGGCGTCTGTTCGAGTTATCAGTTCAGTTGGAAAAGTAAACTCGAATAGTTTTCAACACGTTTCCGCTTAGGTATTCGTGTCCGATTTCGATACGTTTTCGAATAGTTTTCTATACTCAATCGATGCCGATTGGCAGATTTAAAATCAGGCTAAGTTAGATCTGAATCGAAATCGGTAGAACTAACAGGTCTAGAACCGGTCCGATAGATTTTCTTGATCTGTGGCAATGCTCGGCCAAATTATTTTTGTGTCGATCTCTAGTGTCTGTCTACAGAATTTGTTCTTCTATCTTTCAACCTGCGATAAAAATATATATATTTCCAAGATTTTCCCGCGAATATATATGCCAAATGCCAAGTCTCTAATCCACAATTGGTTAGAGGAAAACACGTATATGCTCTTTTCACCTTGTGCACGGGTATAAGAACGCGCTTCACTCGAAACTTTTTAAGTGGATTTCATAAAGAGGGTCGCAAGTCGGGGCTAAGCCGGCCCCATCCCGCTCGAGCGGCATCTCCGTGGAGCAGCTGGATAATATGTAATATCTAAAGATTATTTTTGCGCGTTGCGCTTTTGAGCAAAAGCGCGGTTTTTGTGGCCTGCGCCAGTTGCAGGTGTGCAGCTGTGCAGGTGTGCAGGTGTGTCATGGTCGAGATGTGGGGGCGTGGCACTGAGAGCAATGTGGTGCAATATGTAACAACTGGCAACTGACAACTGCGGTAAGTGCCAAAAGCTGCTGCAAATATTTGTAAAGTGGATTTGCACAAGTTGGCTAAAAGTAAATGCGATGGCAAATGAATTCTGAAACGCTGCAAATACCTTTGAGAAAGTAAAACTTACTTAAGTGCCAAATAAGTGTCAACCAATGAAGCGGAAGGTCATAATGCCAAGCAGCAGAAACAATCTAGGAAACTTGCTGAAGTAATGTAGGAAATTAGATAAGTTTCTTACGAGGACCTTAATCAATAACAATTATTATGTGTGGGCTATCATTGTGAAACTTTATAATTAGATGAGTCGTATACGAAAATAATTTTAATACGAATCACTTTTGAATATTTTTTCAACCCCATCTCAAGGTGCTTACTGCTAAATTAAAGGTATTCCGTCCTTCTGCCTGATTGTTCCCTTTAACGAAAAAGTTGTTAGCCCTCAATATACATAATTTATTTGACGCATTTTTTTTTATCTTAAGTTAAAGCAATCAATGTTTTTGAGCTGTTAAAACTTTTGCCAAGTAAAAAAAAAAAAGAGAAGAAAAAAGATATCAAAAATAAAATAAAAAAGAAATTTAAGTTTCTGTTGTCAATTTAAGGAGAAGAAAACAACAAAGTGGAAGTTTTTGTACGAACTATTTTTATGCTTAAGACTTTAACTATTTAATATCAATTACTGCGGTTTTAAATGTTTGGTATCCATGTTGTTTGTTATAAAACAATTTAATATAAAGCCACAATCAGCAGCAAAACATTGGCTAAATGCAATTTATTTTGCAGAATTTAAAAAGATAGATTTTGGTTTATTTTAAGGATAATTGTTAGTTTGCATATATACACAGTATATAGAATAAATTCCTGCCTAATTTAAGCCCGGATTTAAAAATTGGTTGAACAGAACTCTGCTAATTCGTTAGCAACAGCTTTACATAATGCACAGACAATAACATATGACTGTTAAAAGTCTTAACATAACATAGCTTACGGTTACGGTTACGGTCTACACTACAGGGGCTCACAGTTTACTTCCACTACGCCCGGGTCAAACACTTTGATTAAATATGAGAATACAGAAATTAAATTACAACTTTTTCGATTGACAAACATTTAAGCAGCTTGTTATACTTCTGGACTGTTTAATAAGGCCCTAAATAATAGTTAGGCTTCTGCACTTGTGAGTTTGCCTATGCAAATAGGCAGTCCGTAGTATTATTCACGCCTATCATTGAGCCAAAGGGGCCGCGCACACAGCAGCCTCGGCTTCAGGCCACATGTTGGTTCCACAAAATTATGGTTGGATTTGCACCACAGGCATGCCTGCATCTACACTGCATTTATCTATATAACCCGCATTGCAGCACCATAATGAGCGGCCAGCGGTGTCCCAACGATAATCAAATCAAGGAGCAAATTGTTGTAGTTACCGGCGGCAGCAGCGGCATTGGCTTTGAGATTGCCAAAGCGCTGGCGGCGCGTGGCGGCCGCATTATCCTTGCGTGCCGCAATCTAGCCGAGGGCGAGCGTGCCGCAGCAATTATTAAGCGGGAGCTGGGCTGCCGCACTCCAACCTCAGCCGATGACACCGTTAGCCCCGCCGAGCGCTACTTTGTGGAGGTTCGCCATTTGGATCTGTGCTCCCTGCGCAGCGTGCATCAGCTCGCCAGCCAACTGATGTCCGAGTTCGAGCGCATCGATGTGCTGGTGAACAATGCGGGCATAGTGTTTGGTGACACACGGATACCAACGCCGGATGGCTTCGAGCAGCACAGCCAGGTTAACTATTTGGCGCCGTTTTTGCTGACGCAGCTTCTGCTGCCGCATTTGCGACGGGCGGAACAGGGCCGGATTGTGTTTGTGTCGGCGCACGCTCATCAGGCGGCAAAAATTGATTTCGATGATCCACTAAATGTGGGCACCTATTCGGTGAAGTTTCATGCACGCGATGCCTTTGCCCATTCCAAGCTGGCCGTGATTTTGGCCACGCGCTGGCTGGCCCGAGAGCTGAAAGGTAAGTGCTGACCATGAGGGAATATTTTCTTTTCTTTCTGGGCTGTGTAAATTGCACAGTTTTTCGCTCGGTAAATTATTGAAATGCTTAACTCGACCGGGCCAAGAGTATTTCATTTTTAATAACGCGCTGATTTCCCCGCAGATACCCCCATTACGGTCAACTGCTGCACGCCCGGACTGGTGAGAGGCACCCGGCACCTGCGCAAGTAAGTAACCAGGCCAGGCCGAAAATAAATACTAGGAATGTTTAAGTAAAAAGTGACCGACTATAAGATACCTTTGAGTTTAGCTTGTAAACATTCTTGATGAACTTCGGTGTTTATAGTCCGATTTTTTCATTTTGGAGGGAATATGGGGAGGTATCCAAAAAATCAGTCGCTGTTAATCTCTATTAACTATAAGAGAATCTAAATACCTTGTCTCCTTTGGACATTCTCTTCGATCTAATATTTTCACACACACGGACAAATGGGCAGCTCGTCGTCTTCATCATATATATACCTCAGCGGATTTCTCCGAACCTTCCTCCTGCCTGTTACATGCATTACACATAAGATTATGCCCCTTGTAGTTGTGATCAATGGGTATATAAACGAAAATTGAAATCAAAACCGAAAACCCGCAAGTTGCACTCAGCGCAAAGTGCAACTGCAACTGCAGCTGCAACTAAATTTTTAAGCTCATTTCGCGGTCGCGCAAAACTTTTTGCACTTTCATTTGGCTAAACGTGACCCAACTGTGGGCGTTGATGGTGGTTCAAGTGCTGGCCAAATGCTGAACGTGACCCGACGTTTGGCATCGCATTAAGCCTTCATCACAGGCAAGAGTCCAAATTCAAATGTATTAAAAGGTTTCGAATGGAAGGACTTGAATTCCGTTTAAGCCGCGAGTTTACGGAATGACCATGACAAGATTGGCTTATGTGATGATTTCCTGGAATCAGAAAATGCTTGGCTTGAGAAATATACTTCTCCCTTACAATAGTATACCAGTGCATATATACATATATACACCAAGATAAAATAGGCCTTGAAGCATTTTAGACAATATCTCAGTAAATCAGAATTCCGAATAAGTAGGCTTTGGCTAAGTTAGGTCAGGTAAGTCGGATAGCTCTTCATACAGAGACTTGTTGGTAGTCCAAAAAAGCCTTTTCCGATAGTAAATAGTTAACCAGACTGTCCAGGTTGAAGCAGATCATCCCAACAGATGCTGGCCCAGTGTGCTGCCCATATAGCCAGTAATGATGGGATTAGAAAATTCAATAATATTCCATAAATTAACTGTTGAAGGAAAGTTCCTCTATACAAATATATACAGACTGTCCAGGTATTTAAGGATTTATCTGGGTTAACAGCTCTTAGACGGGCAGAATAAATTCGAAAATAAGCGGAAAAGAAAGTCCAGCAACCAGCTTGTCCGGAGGTTTCTGATCCATTGTGATGACTGTGTGAGATGGAGCGTAGGCTGGTTAAGGAACAGGCTATGGGATATGTGGGTAATCATGTTGGACACCATTCCCTTGAGTAGTCAGAGTTGGCTCTATCAGAAAATCGGGCATACCGTTATTCAGAGGTTGTTTGCCTACCGGATGGACATGTCGATGGAGATGTCGTTATATATTCCTCAAATTACACCCATCACTGAAGAGTTGAGAGGATTGCAAACGATTTAAAAAAAAATTGTTGGCAAAGGAACGAGCTATTTTTTTCTTATGTGAACACTCGCACAGGAGTTTCTGCAGCGTTCTATCGCTTCCTTTTCCGCACAACTCGACGTGGTGCGCCCTGCTAACACACAAAACTAAGCGTATCCTGTTCTAGTTGAATGTCTTCTTCCTGTGTGTATTCCTTGCGGATTGCAGAAGACAGAGAATGACCGCAATGACAGACAGCTCTGATTAGAGGTCCATTGTCTCTCGACGAGTGGCCTGGCTTCAACTGTGGGACCAAAAGACAGATAAATGCAAATCCATAATCCAAAATTTAACTGCTCTTGCTCTTCTAAAAGTACCCATTTAATATAATTTTAACCAAGATGCGATAGCGAAATAAGCGGTATCCTTCTATTATAGCTTGATGATTATCACAGCCGTCGTAAAAGGTTTAAGCGCTGTGTAAACAAAAATCCATTAGGATAACTGTCAAGGACAGCAACTGCATTAAGCGGAGAGTAGAATTAGCAGAACTGGGCCAAAAAGGAGCATGCTGACATAGGCTTCAAGGCAGCGCATGCAAATTGGTTGCCAGCCACCAACTACCCAAAAATTTCTATATAGTACATGATGTTTGTGTGCGGGCTTGAAAATAAAAAATAAAAAAACGAACCAAATTTGCACAATACACAGAAAAGGACGTGCAAACACGACAAACAGTTGCAAATTACGAAAAGCACAAAATGAGTACAAGCTGCAACAGCAACAGCAACCACAGCAACAACAGCAGCAGCAACAGCAACTGACAGCTGCAACCAAGTTGCGGGTACTCATGACCGCCACCCTGTAGCCCCTCTCATCAGCTGCTGCCTAGATAATCCAGCATCGAGTAGCACTTGCCACACACTCAAAGGCTCGTGCACACACATTTGCAACTGCTTATGCAACAAAAGTGAAACGTGATAATTAAAATGCCAAGCACGAGGCGCGATACGTTACGCTGCCCGAGACCCACACTTGACAATTGCCTACTTTTTTGGGCCGACAAGGACAACTCGGGGTCCTAAACTTTGTCTAAATTGTGCAGCTTTGAGTTATTGCCCAGCCACGTGCAGTTGACAATGGTTGTTGCTGTTGCTGCTGACGATACTGTCGCTGCTGCTCATGTTGCTATCTCCTACTGCTTCTGATGTTGTTGTTGCTGTGGGTGCATCTGTTGTTGCTGTTGCTGATGCTGTTCCTGATGTTGTTGCATATGATGCTGCTGTTGTTGTTGTTACTGCTGCTACCGTTATTAATGTTGCTCTGCTACTTTAGCTGATATTGCTACTCCTACAGCTCCTGATGTTGCTGTCTCTGGTATGGCTCATGATGTTGCTGCTGCTGATGTTGCTATCTGCTGGTGCTTCTGATGTTGTTGTTTCTGTTGATGCATCTGTTTTTGCAGTCGCTATTGCTGCATCTGTTGTTGGTGTTGCTAATGTTGTTCCTGATGCTATTGTTGCACATGTTGCTGCTGTTGATATTGTTGCTGCCATTATTAATATGGCTGCTTCTACTGTAGCTGATATTGCTGCTGATGTTGCTGTTCCTACTGCTCCTGATGTTGCTGTAGATGCTGCTGTCATTGCTGCTGCTCCTGATGTTGCTGTTGCTGTCGCTGTTATTGCTCTTGATGTTGCTGTTGCTGATGTTGCTATTTCTCATACTCCTGATGATCTTGTTGCTATTTCTGCTACTCCTATGGCTGCTGCTGTTGTTCCTGTTGCTTCTTTTTCTTTTACTGTTGGTTTTGCAGTTGCAGTTGTTGATTGCACTGTTGTTGCGGCTGTGACTGGCAAATGTTTCTATTGCCAATGGGCGCCGCTGTGTCAGCAAGCCAAGTTCAAATCACAAACGTGTGCGACGACCCGCCCACCTCGTTCCGCCTGTCACTTTCCCCGACATCTTTCAATGATGTCTACAATATTAATGCAAGATTTATTGATACTTCAGTTTTTGTTGCAAACGCAAATCTGCAACTTTTTGGCAGTTATAAATTAGTCAGTGGCAAACAATGTGATACAAAGCAAAATCATTTTTCAACCGAAAAACCCGTACACAGTGGGTAATAGAAGTGTGCAGACAATGTCGTTTTATATTGAATATAAAGACAAATGAAAATATATGAGAAAAACTTCAGATCGCAAATTATAGAATACCCTTGCAGACATATATGGGAGTATATATAAACTTGTATATGTCATATTGTAGCCTTGAGAGTTTCATTAATATCGGATCATAGACAGCGGAGCATCTGCTAGTCGGACACTCCCAACTGGCGCACTCTTACTTATTTAAATTCCACTTGAGTAACCTTTGTGGCATAAGATAAAATAATAATAATGACTGTCGTTAACATCCAAACAGTGTTCCTGCTATGATATTTGGATTCAATTGCTCGGGTCAGTCAAAAGTTATGTTGTGCTCATTTATCTGGACTAGCTTCAAGTAGGTTTGCAGCAGGTTTTATTTTCGGATTTACTTAGCTTAACATGTTTTCACCAAAGTAAACCAAACAAATGACTGTAACTGATGTGTGTGAATGCGTGCAGACATTCAAATAGTTACCAACTTTGCAGCCATGAGGCGATTACAATCAGAAATGCTGTCCAAATGTAATTACACACACACACACACACACAGAGGCACACACACGTGTGGAAATTTGTGCATCACAAATTACACAATTCAATAGAAATAATTGAAAATATAGTTGAGTGAAATATAAACATGCATGTAGTTGTGAGTATAATGGCATGTGGCAGGCATTTGTGTTATGGACGCCACCCAGCTGGACACTTGCCACATAAGCATAATCCATCATAGACACAGAATTGTAATGTCGACATATGTACGTATCGTATATGAATGGTGGCCGCTTGCCAATGGCAGCTGCCACATGGCCAGGCCAAAACGTTGTTAACATGCGTCATTACAATTTGCAAATGCTTCGAGTTGCACTACGAAGCGAAGTGAAACATAGAAAAGAATCAAATGCCGGGGCAAGCGTACAAATCATTTGGACATAAAAAGCAGCACCTTGACGGGAGAGTGAGCGAGGGGCGAAGGCAGGGATAGGCACGTGGCACGTGATCCTAGCGGTAACAATAACAACAGCAACAACAGCAACACCAGACCAACACAGGCCATATAAACTGCCCTCGAGCTGCGGCAATAAAACAGCAAATGAACAGCGGAAGTTACATTAAGTGGACGTGTATGAGATGGCCTAGAGCTCACCCACATATCTGCCTTGACTCTGCACCATGGGAAAAAGTATCCGATTTTTTGGCGAAAAATTAATAACTCATAGATTAGGATAAGAACTCACGATCATTAACCAATCGGTGTTCCCAATTACTGACTCTAGTAAATATAAAAATCTTTGAGTTGCCCATTGGTGTCAAAATCTTTAAGCCCTTGCTAAAGTTTATTTTTCTTAGCAAACTTTATCTTAAAGGTCTTGCTGCAAATCCAATCTCTATAAATCAACTATATCTATAATTCATATATATACGTAAACATACATCAAAACAAGGAGACAAAAGTTTTTGACTTTAGTTTTTTGAATATTAAAATTAAATAATTTGAAAAACACCCAAAAGAAATTAAGCGCAAGCAATTTTTAACAGCTGTTATCTTTACATAATTAGTACATGTTAACATGTACGCTATGTAAAATTGCAGTTTAATGCATTTCCTGTCTTGGCTAAGGCCAAAAGTGTTTTATCTTAAGCAGTTTACAAAATGGGCTTTTATCAAAAACAAACTATCTAAGTTTCCCATAGTGCTGTGTATGTGGTTGTGTGTGTGTGTGTGTGTATATTGCTTCCTTGATGCACACAGATACAAGCAGCTGGCGTGCATACACATCCTGTCCCTGCCGCTACCTGTGCAAATGTGCGCTGCAGCTCCCACGCTTCGCCCCGCTTCACCTCAGCCCACCTCTCGTTCCACCAGTTCCAGTTCTAGTTCCAGCTCCAGTTCGTTGTCGTCGTCTTGAACTTTTTCTGTACATATTCTGCCTCTTCAAGTAGGTTTTCTATTTACAGACTTTGTAGCGCCAAATTGAACTTTTGTTTTACTATGCACACACACAGCAAGAAGAGCCTGTAGTTGGACATGCATCTGAGATATAACTCTCTGACTTTCGTTGTTTTTATGACCGTCAGGCTCGTATCTGCTGAAACAGCTGTCAGCTATGTGTTGCACTTTGCCAACTCTTCAGTTTCCCATTCCCCTTGCTGGGACGGTCAAGGCTCTGCCTGTCTGCCTGCCTGTCAGTCAGTCCGTCAGTCAGTCAGTCAGTCAGTCAGTCAGTCAGTCAACCAGTCAATCAGGCACATTTTTGTTATAATTTATTGAAGTGCAAGTGCGCCTTCAAGCAGCTGTCTGTCTTATCTATTCCTGAACACAATTTAGAAATTCAATGTTGGTCTAGTTGAAATGGTTTGCGCTACATGTTGTCTTAAAGAATTGAAAATCAATAAAGTTTTAAAGCTGCTTTGTTTAAATATTTGTTGAATGTATAACTTGGCAAATCTTTTAAGTCTTTAGCAAAGCGATTTCCATATGAACATTATACACACACATAATCAATGCTAAGGATTCATTTGTACTTTTAATAACAATTCCTTAGCGAGATACGAGAGTCCAGGCTCGGGTTTCAGGCTAATGTTTGAATGTACTCTTAGTAGAAGGAAATAGTTGCCAGTACTATTTTATAAAAGTAGTTTGATTGCTTGTAACTATGTTTGGCCTATTCTTATGATGTTAAAAATAATATTAAATCATTTATTCCAATTGTTCAACATTTTATTAAAATAACAAGATCAAAAAAAAGCTGTTATTCTTGGAAGGCGTACAAATTGTATGAACATTTCATTATAAGCATAAAATATAATGTATAATATTATACATTATATATCCTCATAGATATTTCTCAGAATTAATGCACATTTTTTAGATGTTAGCAAATAATTGGCCCACGCAGAATTCAAGCTCCCACGAATTACCGAAATAAATGAAAACAAAAATTTCTTAGATTACAAAATTGGATACCCTACAATAATTTTTTTAAGGCATTTAAATGCATGTGTGAGTGTTTGGATAATTTGTTGTGTTTTTTTACGGGAAACATTTACATGTAATCGACTGCACTTTGGTGGGTCGATGAACGTGAACTTTTTCCGGCTTAGCGGTTCAGCCCGCACAAGCCCTACGGTCGCCTAATGCGATTCAGAAATGCATCTAAAGAATTAGAAGTTCGGGCCAGAGGGCAGGGCAGGGCAGGGCAGGGCAGGGCAGGGGTTTGCTGATGGTTGTGGCAAGGGCAACAAGCTTTAAAAGCGTTGCAACCCCGGGCCCGTTGAATGAAACCATTTTCACTCTATGATAGGGGCAGACACACACAGCTGCAGAAGCAGCAGCGACAGGTGGAGCAGGAGAAGGACGGAAAGAGGAGCAGTCAGATAGACAGACGCGCGCACACACTGACAAGCTTTTGTGTGGCTGCGCGTGTGTGTGGGTGTGTGCTGTAGTATCTGTGTGCCGTGCTGTGAAATGAAAATGAATGAAAATGAAAAGCAGTTAATGCTCAAGTCACGGAAAAAGCGTAAATGGAAAAGTTAAACGCATTAATTATTTATTTATCGTTTTATTATGTTCAAGTGTCGGTGAACCTGCGCCATTGTATGCGACCATTGGCAGCAACAGCAAAAGCAACAACAACAAAAAACAACAACAACAATAAACAGAGCTAAGCAAATTGAGCGCGAGTTCGTAATCCTCCTTGAAAAGGCATCTGCATGGCGTATATAAAAAATCGACCCTGTTCGGGGGCAGCTTTGGATATGACTCACGTTCAATTTAAGCATGCCCCAAATGGTTTTTATTTTTGTCTCTTGTCGCCACAATTAAAAATGCCATTAAAGTTGTCCATCACACTGTCATGAATCTGGCGACTCTCCGAATGCCTGCTCGAACTTGAAGAACCTTTTGTTTGGTTCGATTTGGGCATGATTAATGTTACTGAAGATATCCCAGTTTAAATATTTACAAGACTGAAGAGAAAAGTTCCAATTACCGAAAATCGAAGTGGAAGCATTTATATCCCTTAAATCAGGCCATTTAAGACATTCGTCTTGACAGATCTGACCCAAATATATCTACACCATATTCGTAATTAAAGCTGAGCCTTTATGCTAATTAGTACTTAGAAGATGCTATGAAATGGGTTAAGGAAATGTAGGCTAAAGGCATATAGGTTATGGGAATTGTTGTTGCAATGAGAGTAAAAAGCTTAATGTGGGGTATAAAAGGACGTACAAGCAGCATATTATATGTTGAAAGTATATTAAGGATATCACGGCTGCAAATTCAAAGAAAGAGTTTTTGCTGATTTACTTCGCGAACCTGGTTTTCCATCTTAATTCAAAAATCATATTTTTACTTATACTTACCTGATCTGAGTAGTTGCTTCTACTTGCTTATACTACCAGATACAAATATATGAACGCTATGGTTGGGCCCTCCTCCAAACATATTTTTTTTTGAGCCAAACCACATAAAAAATTGAAAAAATGTGACGTTTAGTTTTCGTTTCAGCTACTCGTTACATTTTTTTTAGATTCTTTGTAAACTATAGTTCTTTATGCCGGATGCGAATCGGTTTGGCTTAAAGCCAGTTTGCAGCCCTGATTAATATACAAAGTGCTTACTCTCATAAATGCATAAAAAAAAACAAATTTTAATTGCAAGCATTGTGTGTGATAAAAATTATGAGCTTTTCTATAATTCGCATAGAGCATCTGCTAGTCGACTAATTTCTATTTGCTGCGTGCTTTGCATTTTAATTACAAGGGAAACGAAATTAAGCCAACTTTTGTTCTCTGTTATATTTTTTATTTGTCTTTGATGTGCCACGCAACACGCATAGCTCACCGCTAATGTCGGCCATTTGCGTTAAGGTGATCACCTACCCGTGGATGTGGCTGTTCATGAAGAATGCCAGCGAGGGCGCCCAGTGCGCCATACGGCTGGCGACGGATCCCCAGCTGAAGCAAGTAACCGGCGAGTACTTCAAGTGAGTTGTGAGCCGTTTTGCCGGAACCGGCTGTTGCCGCATTAGCGGCATTTTGTTCCATTTTCTTTGTAGTGCAACATTTCTTGGCTACTTGCAGTGACTGCGAAATTTCGCCAACAACGGAGGCTGGCCGGGACAAGGAATTGGCCAAGAAATTATACATGCAGACCATAAAAACGCTTCAGCGCGTTACCAAACTAACAGTCGACAAGGAGGCGTGCACCATGGCGACACAGCTTCAGCTCGAATCCGGCAACTGATTTATGTGCTGCACGCGGCCGGGCAGAGACGAAGTCCGCAACTTTCAACATCTATTTGCATTTGGTTTAACAATTGCCGCATTAGCCAGGCCCGCGCAACCCCGCCCCCTCCCATTCAGAATCAGGCAAACTGGCCACTTAGAAGCTGCCCCAAATTTGAGGGTCTGCGACTGAAGCTGAAGCAGTGACTGCTTCTGTGTTTTACTCATAGAAATATATGTAAATTTAATGTGCTAGCTAACAAAATTGCTGAGTTTGAGTTTTGCGTTTAACTTATTTTGCTTATCCAAAAAAAGAAATGGGAGCAGGAAACGGGCAGCCCAGGAACTCGGCATTGGCATAGATTTACGAGGCGCGCTCAATTAGAAAATCACCATATGTTTGCCCTAACTTTGGGTCTTCTTATCGATGTCATTTTGAATATCGTTTTCTGAATTTATTCAAAGCATTTTTTGAAGGTCTACACTAGGTGCGTATATGTATGCATGTAAGATATGTTTGCGTAAGTATGTCAGGCAAACAAATCTCCAATTATTCGATTGGTTCCGATTTATATGATAATATTTGCTTTTATTGATATGCAATATAGTTATTATTATTGTTATTTTACATATTTATTCAAAAGATATCTAGGGGCATGTATTTCTTTAAGAAGCATCTACAAATTCTTACGAAATGTGCACAAAACATAAAAAACCCAAACATCTATTACGATGGAGCTTAACAACAAAATACAAGATGTTTACATCATGTTGTATTACGAACTCTGACCATTGTTTGATTGAGTCGACCGAGGGGCTTAAACTACAAACTATGTTTAAAGAATATACTTTAAGAGGATTACGTCACGTTGCTGCAGCAGAAAAGTTGATGGTGAATACAGGAAACATTCAATACAGAAAATATGCAAAAAGCTCAATTCATTCTTATATATACAAAAGAGTTAGATTCTAGTTAAGGGCATTTCTGCTGAGGCACACCTTTGTGGACAATATATATTCACTGATTTCTCAGATTATTCATAAATTCCCAGAATGTAAAAAGAATTGGCGAGCAAGGTCGTCAAAATATGTACGCTCGAAAATGCACAATGCATACTTTTAGGGGCGGCACTTTTATAATGAACTTGCGGCATTTTTAATGCGAATCCCAGCCGAAGTAATATGCGAATAGAAGTTTCTAGTAAGCCAATTGCGAAACTACTATAGACTACTAAAGAATTCATAATAAGCGAAAGGAATTGAATGTCATTCATATATTTTCCGCAAAATCCGAACACACACGCGAGCACAACATAGAATGCAGTACCAACTTCAGGGGTTTCCTAGGGATATTTATTCTATACTTATTGCAGGAATTTATTGCTTTATATTCACCAGAACTATATCTATGATACGATTAACATGGATACAATGATTGTCTGGGAACCATCGTATATGTCGGCCGGAGCCGATGGGGATACTGGAAAGTACAAAATTCGCAGTAGCTGAAGAAAATAAAGTCAGATCTTTGAATAATTTACCTAAGAATATAATTCTAGATGTAGGACAAAATTATATAAAAAGGACCAAATTAATTTGTTGGAACATTTCGAGTAAATACACTTTAGTTATTGGACATATATACCATATTCGGGCTTTGATAAAAATAGTACGCTTCAGAAGTCACCAGTTATTGAACGTAAAACGAATATAGCTCGAATAATTAAAGTCAGATCTTAAGCAATTAGCATTGAAAAAAATATCTCATAAGTTTGAGCCAGTCAAATATCAAATCATATCTTGGCTTTGTCATTCAAGAATATCTTCTTGTAGATACTAGAAATGTTCAAAATGAAGAATGTACTCTACAATCAAGGGCATTCTTGGAAAAACTCTGCTAGAAGCTATTAGTTCTGGGAAACCTTAACCAAGGGGAATCACAGGAGCGCCCTGCCAGTAGATATTAGTTCTGAGAAACATAAATATTTAGAAAACTTAAATTCGTTGACACAAATAATTGCCACACTCTATCCTTGGATTAAAACCTTTAAGCTTGTTGTTTGGATAGCTCATTAGCCAATGTCAACTTTGTGAAAATGAAAATGTGTGAGTGGACAGAGCATGGCGTAGCACAAGTATGTATTTTATTAAACAAGGCTAATTGGAAAATGCCTCTATGTCTGACCAACTGTGCAGCTCTCTGCCCCCCACATGCGAGCCATCCTTATGGGGACTAGTCGACGCGTGCCAACAAACTGTTGCTGTTGTTGATTAGCAAAAGTAAAGCACAGAAAGCGATAAAAGAGATATAATAAAAATCTCTATACAAAGCGAACAGACTCTCAAAGTAGAAGAGCAATTATATATTGCTCAGCTAAAACCGATTACGATTAGAATGTGGGCGCAAGCCCGATATGGCGCAGGCACGTGGACCAGCCAGCCGCTTTGTATGCTACGGAAAATCTCTTTATTATATTACGTGAGGCGCTTGTGTTGTCTGTGGGCAGAACCTAGAACTCCGAAAGCCAAAAAACCCACCCAGTCAGCAGCTATCCGGGCGGTTGGCAGAGCTGGGTAACTGGGAACGCCATGTGTTGCTGGCACAATTTTACGCTTCCCTTTTGAAGTCGCTTCGTGTGCCAGTTCCCATTTTTCCGTGCACAGTAATTGCATGGCTGTTGAAAAAGAAAAGCTCTTGGCGTGGAAATACGATTATGTTGCTCTTGTTTTTGTTGTTATTGCCATTTCCACATTTGTGCAAAAGCTTTACGTTTCCGTTTACATTTCCGCTCTGACGTGCAGTTTACGCTCTTCAATTAGAAAAAGTCGGGCACAAGAAAATCATATAAGGCAAATAAGCTGGATAACAAAAACAAATAACATTTTCAAATATTTTTTGAAAATTATTTAATTTTGTGTGTAAAATGTAAACAAATCAATAAATCCAACAGCAAATTGCTTACGTTGCGTATAAGTAATTTTGTGCAGTGTGCTGAAAGCTCTATTGCGTGAGAAAACTATAAAAATCTCACTCGAGCAGCTCTCTTTTCTAACAGGCAGAGAGCGCTTTAAAAGCTTTCAAATTCTTAAGGGCTTTTCAAACCCCACAAAATATTACGCATACGACAAGTGATGCGCAAGGCGCTGAAACATAGAAAATTTAGTTCGCTAAAAAAAAAGCTACAAAATGTACAGAAGTGCATTTACGAAATTAAATCAAAAATAATTCAAATTTTTTGTATCATTCCGAGCTTGAGCCAGTTAAATCAAGATTTAAATATGAAAAGATGGCAAAAGCCAGAACTAGTAAATAATTTTATTAACTACATATTTTAATCTGTTTGTCTTTACTAATTAGCGATTATTCTAGGATCTGAATACAGGAATTTCCAGCTATACAATTGATACAACTCAGCTAAAGTCTAAGCTAAGTCTGTTGTTGGATATACATGTTAACAATTAACTTCAAAATAATTAATATTAAAATAAATTTATAATCAAAATCAAAATTTGATTAATATTAGAATCGACTCCATTTTTTGGATAACTTGTAATATAACACCTTACCAATATTGAGAAATTTTCTCAAACTTTTCAATTTAATTATTCGATTGTCAATTGACACTGATGCATACGAGTCCAAAAAAGTTAATCATTTTAAAATCTGACTGGATTTAGCCAAAATATACAGATAACACTAGCTAGGTTTTTATATAATTCTAAATTTGTCGTAGTATTTTAAGTATTTTAATATTCAAACTAAATTTAGAAACTTTTTCCGTTACGCCGATCTAATCAAATCTGGCAACTCTATCGAATGTGCGCTCTTACACACAAGCGCCGCTCTCTTTTCAATTACAACTCCGCAAGCACAGACACCTGTGAAAGCTGCCAGTTGAATTTAGCGGCTATTCCCTGCCAGCGTAAACAACAACAACAACAACAACAGTCAATGGCCAAGAAACAGCACGTAACGCAACCACAAATGTTATAAATAAACAAAAGAGGATGCAATTAAGGAAACGCGTCAAGAGGCCCAAAACAGCCGCAACGTAGCATCCAGCGTAAGAACATTGCGTCAACATAGCGTAAACAACAAATGGCGCTCTCTCTCTCTCTCTGTCTCTCTCTCTCTGTCTCGTGACTTCTCTCTCCCTCTCACTCTCACTCTGGCAGCGGCTCGGGGAGCAGCGCTAAGCTCAGGGAGCACAAGAATTTGAAGAGCGGAAATCAGTTGAGCTGAGCAATGCTTTTGGGTATATTTTTCTTTTCTTCAGCCAACGTTCGGCTTTAGTTTCCTCGTATCAGTTGCGCGGCAAGCGAGCCAAAGTCAAAACGTGCGAATTAACCTCGTTAGCGTCTGTGGCAAGCACATTGGGGCACAAACGGCGTGAACGATGCTGCTGCCACAACGGTCACGTTAACAGTAGAAAATTTTGAGATTCTAAAGAAAAGCGCCTGTCGAAATGGACCACGAGTGAAGGTGTGTCGCGGTTGTGCGCTCTCTGTGTGTGCGTGTGTGTGTGTGTGTGTGTGTGTGTGTGTGTGTGTGTGTGTGTGTGTGTGTGTGTGTGTGTGTGTGTGTGTGTTGCCATTGCATATTAATTATTCAAATTAATTGCAAGAAATACGCCATAAGCACAGACTGCTACATACATAATTTATACACATATATACACAAGCTGGCAACTACAATAAGTATTTTGTTGGGCGAAAAGCCACGAAATTTGTTGTTATTTTTGTGCTCGAATAAAAAATTGATTATGAAAATGCATATAATACGTAAATTATAGTTGGAAGAAAAATAAATGCACAAATAATTAAGCAGTGCCATTTCGCTTTGAAAATGTAAAGAAATAATATAGAGACAAGTGCAAATAAAATAACAAAATGCGAAAAAATAAGAAAAAAACAAAAAACTTTGGCACACCGAAGATTAAGTACTCTTGTAGACATGTGGCTTGGGAGTCTTTTTATATAAAAGCATTTTTCCCGTTTGACTGTTCCCATATCAGTCATTTAGTATATCAGTCCGATACGATACGGTTTTGCAGATACGTCAGGATAACTGTGGGACAAAATTTGGTCTCAATATGTCTAGAAATACCAGAGTTTTACGGTACATTCTAGGGGGCATAGGGCTATATGATATAATAACCGATATTTCTTACATGTAATTTGCATGGTGAAAACCAAAAATACTAAAATGTGCGG